CTTTCTTTCTTTGTCATTTCTCTCCATCTAACATGCTATATTACTGCTTATTTAATTTACTCTCTAAATCTCACCATTTAAATGTAGACACCACAAGAGCAGGGATATTCTTTTCTATTTTGCTTGTGCTCAGTAAATATTTATAAAATGAATGAATATCATATGGTATGTAATGAAATTCATTATTTTCATTGAGTATCTCTTGGGTACTCAGGGCATCTAGAACAATCTATTCCTCATGGATCTGCCCCTTAGGACCTTCTGATAGTCAAGATAAGTGCGTGTACAACTAACAGGATAGGCTAGAGTAAGTGACAGAGAGATCTAAATAAGATGCTTGTGGAGCAGAAAGACCCAATTCAATTAACAATGACATACATGGGTCTAAGAACTTGAACTGGGTCTTAAAAGATGGAAGAAGATAGAAGGTTAGGGGAAGGTAGTAAGTTAAAGCACAAAAGTAGGAAAGCATGGTATATGGGTGGCAGAGTGATTTGGGTTTAAATTAGGCACATAAAGAGTATTACTGAGGTCTTGAGCTAGAGCTGCATGAAGAGGGTGCCAATGTAAAGTTTTAAGCAGAGGATAGCATGTGGTTTGAGAAGATATTTCTGGTGGTAGGAAGATCTTTCTGTTGGGGGCTGAATTTCAGGAATGCCAGCAAAGGCTATTGCTGAGGTCCAGGCAGTCTAGATAGTGGTATAGACTAATCTTGGTGATAGTAGGGAGGAAGAGAAGTGGAGAGATACAGTACATGTTGTTGAAACAATTAAAAACTTGCCAGTGATTAATTATGAGGACAAGGGAAGAGGTGAGGATAATTCTACATCTAGGGGTTCAGCTTGATGGTGGGTTCTTTAGGGCATGCACTATAACCCATCCAGCCATCCAGTAAAGATGTATTTCCCATGATTAGGATATTAATTCTGTCCTGGGCACTGGTAGAGTAGAGAAGAATAAAATATGACTCTTGCCCTCATGGTACCTAAGGCTAGGTACTCAGGGCATCTATAAAAATCTATTCCTCATAGACTCTGCCCCTTAAAACTTTTTGATAGTCAAGATAAGTGGATGCACAACTAATAGGATAGGCTAGAGTAAGTGACATAAACAGAGATCTAAATAAGAGGAAGCTATTAGAATATAGTACGATAAGTTCAGTGATAGAGCTACTACAAGGTTCTATAGAAAGAGGCAAGGAAAAGAGGGGCATCTAATCATCCTGATAGGGAGGTCAAGGGGAACTTATTGATCTTTATGCACCTTTCTGTCTCCATAACACAGGGCTTTAAACATAAGACATGTTTTATCCATACTTATTATAGTTGGATATGGTTTGAACATGTCCCCTAAAAGTTCATGTGTTTGAAACTTGGCCCCTAGTGTGGCAGTGTTAAGATGTTGTGGAACTTTTAGAAGTTGGGCCTAGTAAGCAATGATTACTCACCAGGGGCATCACACTTGGAAGAGACTAATGTAGTCCTTGAAGAATGTCAGTTAGTTTCTGTGTGAATGGGTTGTTATAAAAAGAGTAAATCTGGACCCTGAACATTTCTGGCTTTCTGCCTCACTAAGTGATCTCCCCTTCTGTACATGACTGATTTCCTTTCCATTTTCTCTGCTATATTGTGACCTAGCCAAAGGAGCCCTGACTAGAGGCCAAACAGATGAGGCCACTCAATCTGGAACTTTTGACCTCTAAAACTTCAAGATAAATAAACCTATTTTATTTATAAGGTACCCAGCTTCAAGTATGTTGTTACAGCAACAGAAAACAAACTAATACAGTGCTGAATTCAGTTAGTGGAGAAAATAGTAGGAGGTTGTTATTGGTCGTGTTGGTGGTGGTGATGGGTGGTGGTGGTGTGTGTGTGTTGGGGGTTAGTGATGATTGATACTGAAGATGATGGATTGTTTGAGAGTTGCTGAGTGAAATTGTAGCAAGTCATAGTTCCAAATATTTCCATCAAACAGTGTGGATAGGGACATGGGAGGGAAATTAAGAACTAGAGATGAAACAAATGACAGTATAAGGTTATAGGCAATGAAGTGTAAAATATATTGCAGATCAAAACTCTGAGGCTGAAAGTGCATTAAGGATGGAAGTGATAGGGCTTGAGCTGAATGCTGAAAGACAGACAGGCTGTGGACAGGCCCAGAATAAGGGGAGGGACAATCTAAGTCATAATAATTGGTTGGGAAAAAAGACACCATGAAGGTTCTCTGGTAGAACAGAGCAGAGGGAGCCTGGGGGATAGTACAATAGATTAACATAGTATAATGAAAATTTCTTGTTGGGAAAGTTAGATGAGCAATAAATCTTTGCTGACCTGAATTCTTTTTCAACCCAACTCTTTGCCACTTCTACAAAATGGTAAGCCAAAATCTATCTAGGATGCTGCAGAGGGACATTATGAATTCTAATGCTTGTTTTTTCCTGTTTAGTCTAGAAAATAT